ACAGAGAGAGAAAGCCTTCCTCTGGAGCTGGTGCCCTGGATTCAGACTAGACTGTGAGAGAATAAATTTGTTTGATAAAGTCATCCACTTGTGGTATTTGTTACAGCAGTACTAGATAACCAAGACAGGTGGTAAAAAAACACAACTAAACCTTAATTTAGCCAACAACACATACTTCCCAAAAAGGAGTGTGATGGTTAAGGTTGTGTATTAACTTGGCTGGGCCATGATTATCAGTGGTTTGGCAGTTATGATGTAGTTTGCAATCATATGATGTTGTGATCACTTCCATGATGAGATTTGATATAATGCCATCACCTCCATGATGGGATCTGCTGTGAGTAGCCAATCAGTTGAAAGAGAGTTTCCTTGGGCATGTGGCCTGCATCGAATATAAGTGCACTTTCTGGCAAGACTTCTGGGCTTTTGCTCGCTCTGGATCCTGCTGCTGGCTCCTGTTTGTCTGACCTCTGGTTCTTAGGACTTGAGCTAGCAGCTTACTTGTGGTCTTGCCTGCCTATCTTGGGATTTGTCGATTTTCGCAGCCTGTGAGCAAGAGCTCTGCTCTCTGATCTGCTGATCCTGGGTTTGCCAGCCCCTGTGGCTATGTAAATTAGAAGCCTCTATCCTGATCCATGGACTTGGGACGCTCCAGCCCCTACAAACGCGTGAGCCATTTCCTTGATATAAATCTCTCTCTACATATATTTACACGTTTTACTGGTTTTGCTTCTCTAAAGAACCCAGCCTAAGACAAGGAGGGTGAGAAAAAACTGTAAATAAGAAAACCAATCTCCATGCACTAGTGGAATCTGCTATTTAATGCATTCTGTAAGTGCCACCTTTGTAAATAATATTTTTATAATTCTATCGGTTCTGTAAGATAAAAATGCTTTGCATGCTTTATCTCCTAAAAATGAGGTCCTCCTGCACCTTATATTCCTTATATTTAAAATGAATTGCCATAATAGATGTAACCTTCCTGGGTAATGTCACTCTGATGGGAATGCCAATAATAAAATGAACAGTTTTCTTATTCTCAGAAGTCAAACTCTACTGAAGAGAAAATTTTAAAACTTGTCTCATTCCATTTGTTGAAATTAACAGAGCTCCACATTCTACCACACATCAGAGTGGTGAAACAAGATAAAGCATTAATAAATATTTTAATTACAAAATTTCCACCAATTCCTGCCAACCATATCACTCTGGATATCACAGCTGGAGGCTTTCTCCACTCTCGTCTCATACAATATTTGTCCTCTTGTGATTGACTTATTTCACTCAGCATAATGTCCTCCAGTTTCATCCATGTTATGAGATGCTTCACAGATTCACTGTTGTTCTTTCTCGCTGCACAGTACTCCATTGTGTGTATGTACCATAGTTTGTTTATCCATTCATCTGTTGATGGGCACCTACGTTCTTTCCATCCTTTTGCTATTGTGAACAATGCTGCCATGAACATAGGTGTGCATATGTCTATACGAGTGATGACTCTTATTTCTCTACGATATATTCCTAGGAGTGCGATTGCTGGATTGTATGGTATATCTATCTCTAGCTTTCTAAAGAAGCACCATATCATTTTCCAAAATGGTTGTATCATTTTGCATTCCCACCAGCAGTGCATAAGTGTTCTGATCTCCCCGCAGCCCCACCAACATTTGTTATTTCCAGTGTATTTGATTCGTGCCAATAATGCCGGGATGAGATGGTATCTCATTGTGGCTTTAATTTGCATTTCTCTAATGGCTAGTGATCGTGAGCATTTCCTCATGTATCTATTGGCCATTTGAATGTCTTCTTTGGTGAAGTGTCTGTTCATTTCCTTTGCTCATTATTTAATAGGATTATTTGTCTTTTTGTTGTAGAGGTGTTGGATTTTCTTGTAGATTATGGAGATTAGACCTTTGTCTGACTTGTACTG